ACTATCCTAAAGCAATCTTGTGTACGATGCAATATCCAACCAGCCGTTATGAGGAGCAAATCTTGCATACCCGGATTGTTGAATTCTACAAGAATCGATCTCGCTGGAGTTTGCCTACACGGCCCAGGGTTCTTCCACACTCCCACCCTGTGCACTCATTTGAAGGCATTTTGCGGATTTAAACCTGCCAGCCGCAGGATATCCACCGCCCTACTTCGATCCATTTTCCTTCTGGTTTTCGCCTCCTTCATTATAAGCTCCTCTTTGTTGAACATAAGCACTGTTTTATGACAGTTTCTTGAAAGTTTCCGTTGAAGAACCGCTACAGTTACGCTGTTACTGAAGTTGTGATTTCAAGTTCATTGCCTGTCTTGCAAGAATTTGTGCACGTTCTACGAGAGCGTTTGATGTTAATCATGAGATCAAAATGCTGTAGGAAGTCGATACCTTTGATGGGAAATGGGACTACCGCGACCAAGAACACCCAGCGCAAAGTGCGACGTAAGCCAAGGTTTATCGTTGGGGACTTTTGGCCATACGTAGAAATGAGGGTGACGTTCGCGGCACGAAGTCGACAGAGTGCGGTAGTCATCAGGTCACCAGAACTCGGCAGGCACTGACTTCTGAGCCTGTGTCAATAAGGAATTGAGTGCTACTGGCATCATCCCTAACGTATATAAGGCAACCACTTAACGACCTAACGACCGAGTTTGTCGCCACAACTGATCACGTCTTCAGTTTCCCTGGCTTGCGCCGGAGAAAATGCATTCAGCTTAGCACCCTCGAGCATTGGCCCTCAGTGGTACCAATAGCAACCTGCGGGGTAAAGTGAAACAACACGTTGTGGTGGTGAGGAACTATTTTGAGATCTGGACCAGGAAAGCGATGTATTCCGCTTCCCACGGTTATTGTCAGAAAGATGGTCGAGGACTCGACACATCATGTCTAGGAGTTTACCCATTTTGTTCTCCAATAGAGAACCAGGGACTATACGGGAAACCGTGCTAAGAGCAGTGATATTAGTGGACACTGGGGTTTGGGCTACCACGGATAACTGGAGATGGAGATGGAGCATCATCTCATCGGCGATGGATGTCGCAACCGTCAGAGCGGACTTTCAGGTGAACACCACAATTGCTTGTACGTCCGGGAGAGTCGCTGCATCCTCATCCCTCTCAAAATCTCCTCACTTATGGCGGATGGTCCCATAACTTGGTGCACTTCGCGCAACAGGGGTAGATGGGGTGCGATCCCCGAGTGGCAAGTTTTTAAAAAGACGCTGTGCTCGCTCAATGTTGAAGGGTGATGCTCGTTTGATCACAGCCTCTTTTAGGACGGAATATTTTGGGAAGTCCATGATGATATCCTGCATTTACCAGACTGTCATGGGGAGCTTACTAAAGGTCCAATTCGTTTTGGGACGATCAGCAGTAATACCGACATTTTCGAATTGGACTTCCAGAAGCCGGAAGCAGAAACTGGGGCCAACTATGACGAAATCGGGGAGGCGGGTAAACATGCCTGCGACGATGATGTCATACTTAGGGATTGAAGCTGGGTCCAGTATGCTACCGAGACTCATGATGTTGAAAAAATATATCTATAACGGATAAACTGAGGAAAAGGTGGTTTTACTGTAAGATAAGTAACAAAGCAGGAAATCATGAATACAAGGGTGGACTCATTGGTGATCCTAGAACTTGAATCTAGGAAATCCAGGCTCACCAATTTGGAAGGAAGCATTGGCTCCGTCCACATGTCGCCATGGTTCTTCGTCTCAACGACTTTATAGACCCAGGACATTTTCTACGAGTCGTAACGATTACCCAGTACAAACAGGCGACCTCAACAGCCAACGTAAATGAAATAGAAGGCAGATTGTGAGACCTAAACCAAAGCACTTTATTTGAACGTAAAATACAGTGACGTTGCAGAGTATGTGGAAGCAACGCGCGTCAGCGTTCAGTAAAACAAGAACATGACGTAAAACACTAGTGACTACTACTGCAATCAGTGGTCATATACACATTCTATTCTCGTTTCTATGATGTTGCTTACCGCGCTTTAGTTGCTATTCTCTGCTCATGCCGTGATAAAATGGAATTGATTTACAATACTGACTTTGAATGCCCCTTTTTAGTATGTATACGGCTTTCTCCATGGTGATGGAGCTTTTTTCATCTGACGTTACCCACCGGCAACTCTCTCGAATCTCGTATTCAATTTGCTTCAGTAATACGTTTAATTAATTTTGCCATTTTTTGTGAAGTTATTTTTCACTGTTTGTTTCATTTCAAGCCAAAATAATATAATTTGTTCTTAAAAAGACGATATCACATTCAACAAAAACATAACAAAATCAATTAGTACTAATACATTTTGGATTAGAATAATAAAAGTTGCACATTCCTTAATTTATTTCCAAAACTTAGCCACATAATGTGTTGTAGCACCTATAACCAAAAGGTTATTTGATTACTTATTGATTTATTAATTAACTTTTAAGTGACGAAAACAAATTTTCAAATAATAATAGTGAACAAATCAATAATTTTGTTTTAAGGTTTGCAAAAACTTAGAATTATTTATATAACTGATATACGTGTAAATATATGTAGTATTTTGAATATTACTCGAAATGGAGTTCATAAATTCGCGCAATACCGATCCCCGAAATAGAACAGCCTCGAATTGAATAACACACGTGCTTTATTCGAATCGTATACTATGCATATTCAATGCATTTAAAGGGTACAAGGAATGTTCAAGGTCAGTATGACACATCACAATATATCAATAAATTCAAAGGTTCTCCTCAAAGAGCAAATATTAGAGTAATAAATATGCGTCACTTCTAAGCGTTACAAGTCTATTACAATAAATTTCTTTCCGCACACAAGTTAGGAGGTCAATTTCGCTGCTTCCTTATGCTGAGAAACCGAAAGATATTTACCGTTCTTGAGACTGCCAAATTTGTAGGGTTTCCAGCACTACAGCTTGATGATCTTCAGTTTTTGTTTTATATAAATTAATGTTATCTGCATATCACTTTGATTTGCGAATAACAATAAAACGTCTTGTTAAGAGGGCGTAAACTTTGTACCTGATCCTCTTCAGTTGAAGGTCCTGGTGTAGATAGATTGAAACAATGTAATTATGCGAGATCTAGTGAATAAATAAACGGTTCACTCCAAATTGCATTATAAATCGGAAGCTAAATTCTGAACTGAAATGCAAAATATTTGGCTAAATGTAGAGTGGTAACGAATCTAGAATCCAAAAGGACAGGATATACTTGGGCTGTTACTCTGAAAGAATCTATTTTTCTGAGCATCAAGGCAAAGCAAATAAGGATGTGGTTTTAAGGTATCCGAAAATTCATGATTAGAAGTCAAAAATCTTTTCAACGATGTAGTTCTTTTTTTCAGCCAACATGTTACTTGGATTGATACTGCTATTCATTCTATTGAAATGTTCCATCTTCGAATGCGCCACCTGCATTGATGATCAAGGAAATGCTGTGGATTGGTAGTCTACCCTTATTTCTAGTTTTATGATGCAGGTTTATTGGGTACAAATTGCCGCAAAGTTTTGAATACGTTTACCTTACTCCCACTGTCAGTGAGTGGCAAAAATCGGAATTTTTCATAAACGAGGATGGAATGATGAAAAACCTATTTGAGGAAATGCATCGATTAAAGAATTCTAAGTATACACTTTACGGAGTATATAATGATGAAAGACCTGGTAATGTGATGGTTGAAAACAAATACACATGGGGACATCTAAAAGGTAAATGCAATTTATTCTTCATTCAGCAACTGCCATCAGGTGCTTTTGCATTCAACAAATCATCCGGGTTTTGGTTGATTCACAGCATTCCAAAACTGTCAGAATCTTCGGAACATTACCAGTACCCGGATAGTGGGAAGATCTATGGACAACACATGTTGTGCGTTACCCTAAAATCGTCATACATGGTTCCGTTGGGTGAGTTTATAGATTATATTTCATCCTTTGACGAAAAACCAAAGAATCCTTTATTTGATTAAGGCTAAGATATTTGGCTCGAGGACTCGATTTGTATTTTCAGTACACATTCTTGCAACAATTTAGTTGGTCGCCAACGTGTTATGATGTATTGATGTAATTTATGATGTAATTCTTATTGTGGATTAAAACTCAAATAAATATGTGAGGATCTATGAACACCTTAGCGAAATTTGGAAGGGGGGTAACGTTGCAATGGTACTTTGTTTCGGTCGTTGCAAAAGCTATTCAAGAATGTTTCTAAGTAATATGGGCATGGACTACTCAAAACAGTGGTGATGAGTTTTGGGCAAAATCTCAAAGCAGCCTGGGATATTGTCAGTAAAGCAACCGAGTGCTGAAAGTAGATGCAAAATTCATTCCGGAGTATTTAACATCTGAAAATTTCATAATATTAACAAACGCACGGGGGAATGAATCATGAAATACAAGCGATTAAACAAATTTACCCGATTTACTGTGAGAGACATATAACAGATTTATTGAGGGATATGGTCATACTAGTTGCGTAATCTTTTCAAATACCGGGATAAATGAAATAGAAGCAAATCATGTCAGCGTTACTGTGTGTTTCATAATGCAAATGAAATATGTTCGATTTGTGCTGCTTTTCGGCTTCTAGACATTTTACCTACCGACACTCTGATGTTATCAGTGTAATTCTACCGCTTTTTAATATTTAATTATGTATCTTTGATCTTGCATTTTAGTATGCTTTACGCCCCGCTCGCGTGAACATAACTATTATTATTATTAATTCAAACCGTCCTAAAAATATTCCTTGGAGGTTTGCATTGTATTTTGCTCCGCTGATATATGGTCACTGTGAAGTACATAAACCATTGGAGAGAAAGAGAAACAGAGATGGAGAAAGAGAGATAAAAACAAAGATTACAAAAGATTAAACTCATTATTATTATGAAGAAAGTTTGCGTCAGCAAGAATAAATGAAGCCACAAGACAATCTCAACATGAGTCAAATTTACCACCTACCAATCATCCAATTAGTTTGGTCCTAGAAGATTGATTGTTTAATTGTTGAATAATCCTATTTTCTCAGGTGACATGGATTGCCTTTCTGCTTCACATCGACAATTTTGACATTTTTCAATACAATCTACAGCTAATCTGTTAAAATGATAAATATAACTCTTCACCATAAATTTGGAGATAAACGAGCAAACATGTAATCATTGGACGTCTTAAAATTCTTTCATTTTCATTGAAGTTATCAGTAGAGAAGTGGAAATGACTCGTTGGAATTTACTACACAACCCAAAAAATGAAAAGAGATAAATTTAGCCTCATGTTTGTTGCTCCACGACAGTATCCCTAAACATCTGAAAAAATTTCAGTTCTGCAAATTAAGAAATCTCCGCACAACTTAGCTTTTCTAATAAGGATTTGCTTCTTAAACGTGGCAGCTAAAAAGGAATGACACTGCAAAGTTAAAAATATTTTATCACTAAAGCATCCAATACGTCTAGAATTTAGCGATGTAAGTGTATATAAAACTCCGCTATTAATAAAGATAGAAGGAATAAAGCAAGGGTTTATTTTCATACGACGGCGCTATTCAATTGTTTGATTGCCAGAAATCAGTTTCACATAAAAAGGTCTTTTGCCAGTAACTTTAGGAACCTGGTATTTCACCTTCGAATTAGGCTAACTATCCAATTCAGCAAAGCCAAATTGAAAGTAAGTGGCCCAGATCTCCAGTATGTTACAAGAGTGTAAAAATTGCAATTTTGCTGGACTTCAAGCTAACAAACCTGACCATAAGGCATACCGCCTTCTCATTACCGTTTCAATTTTTCGAGAGGTTTATCCAATGATGACCTAAAAATCTGCAGCTTGTAGGAGCTTTCAGACTAATGTGGAAAAGAAGATATGAACGATATAGGTAAATGCGACTCGTGATTAATATTTTTCCGACAAAGCAAATCGGAGATTACTGATGAAATAATTCGTCAAGATGAAACAAACTTCTTGGTCGAGAACTCGCGCACTTAACGAAGGATGTCTGGGTTGACAAGCTGCGTAAAATAAGAGTTACATGCAAAATATGCCGGGTTTCTTTAACTCAGACAAACGTAGGATGATCACCAGTCTCAGCTTCAGATTGTGGTTTGTGGAAATTGGGACAAAAATGAAGTTTGATTTGTTTGAGATTTTTTTTAAACCTCAACTTGTCAGAACACAACTATTGCACTGAAGTGTCTGGTTGAATCGATAACTTAATTTTTACGGAAGTGTGTATGACTTTCGATCTTTGAGATCAACATGTCCACCTGATGTGGCATGCAATTCATTTCATGTAATATGTTCTCTAATTTTGATTTGTTTTACCACTCACAGTTGAACAACTTATAATATCTACGCCACTATTTATATCGAGTCACATGTCAAAAGATTGGGAAGATCAATACCCGAGGATCAAATCTCTGTTTGAAAATAAACGCACTGCTCATGCGACCAATAAAATGGCTCTGTTCGAAACAAACACAGGAATGCAAACGAAACATTTTTCAAAATCTGCTGAATTTGGCGAAGGTGAGCAACGTTATTTACATGCAAACGCAAAATAGAAAACTACTATTATTTCTCACCTCAGGTAATTGCATGAAACACAAATTTTACTGAGGGAGTATTTCCATGGTTTGATTGCGGATTACGAAATTGGAGAAAATCAGGTTTTTCTCTTCACAGTTTGCATGAATAATAAAGTACGTATATATAAATTTAGAAAAATTAATTAATTTAGTTTACCTGTTCGTGATTTAGTGCATTGGTTTAACTAGCTATCGGTGTTCCAGAAATGAGGCTGCCAAACGAGATGTGTAAGTTTCTGTGGAAATAATAATAAGTTCATGTCAGGTCAGTACCCAGGAATTGCGGTTGCTGCCAGTAGGTCCGGTTTCTCGCATTTGTGAATTCAGAAGCAATCACACCGAGCTTCAACTGTAGGAGAAGTTTCACGTGTCATTGCCCGAATCAATTTTTGTGCGTAAGTTCAAATTAGGCACTCTTTACATGCAAGCAAGCATTAAAGATAAATGAGGACCACGTTTTGGCTGAGTTTTACCTTAAAAGTGATGAAAATAAGTTTTTCATTGGGAAGGAAATGTTAGGAAAGATACATATACGTAAGAGGTGTTCTTCAAGGTGGAGCTTCGGGTCGGATCTTAGTTTACCTCGAAAGGATCACTCCAAATTATGAAATGCTGACAGACAGCAGTCACTCAGTTTGTGTTTGAAGCTGATCATATTTTTTGCTGTAATGAATGCTTCCAGGAGTTTGTTCCAGCTGTCCACCACGCGGTTTGTGAGAAACTGCGCCTAAACTTCTAGCTTGGTTCGCATCTTCACCAGTTTTAATGATTGCCCACCTAAAACCATGTTGTCGCTGGCAATGAAAAGCGGAGCTCCAGTATCAGTTGTGCCTTTTATTCTAGTAAAAGCTTCGATCAAGTCCCTTCTTGGGAGTCTCATGTCCAGGCATAACAGATTCACTATACAAGACGAGTTTGTTAGTTTTGCTTCCGAGTTTAGAGGAAGCACTTCATGAACCTGCGGTGTATCACATATAGGACCTTCCTGTCGTGCTGTAGAAATAGTGATAGCGCTTGGATGCAAAATTCTAAGTGTGGTCTCTTATGCAACTTTCAGAGAGGTAACCATATATCTGGGTCTCGAGAGATTACTATCGTCATTATCTAATACAGTTCGTTATTGGCTTTACATACGGCAAACAGCAGAGCTCTTCCGCTTTGAAATAATTTGAGACCTAATATATCAAGTCCTTCATTTTTTAAATTCAGGATTTCTACTGAGTTATCCGTGGAAATCCACCGCACTGCACATTCCATCTCTACTACCTATTTACACTTCACAACGATGAGCGGTAGCTCCTAGGCCTTAGTCCAATTTATGAGGGTACCCATTTCCATCTGGATGCCCCGGCCCAAGGTTTATCCCTCCAGTTTTAAGTAGTCTACGAACATGGACATAGGGATTTTGAGTTTCGTCGTTAGGTCGTTAACATACATCAGAAAAAAAAGAGGGGCCCAAATTGAACCCTGTATAACTCCTTTTGTGGCTTGAGTTTCCGTCCATTCTTTATTCACATAGAACGTCTTCCCCCTCAGAAGGTCTTCTGCTTCATTTTGAATGCCTAAAGCTTCAGTAGTAGCTGTCTGTGGTTCACAGAGTTCAACGCCGTTTGGAAGTCAAGGTAGAAAAACTTCAAATTTCTCCATTCTATGGAACTTTCTGGTAATTTCATCTAAATTCATCCAGAGATTCATGCGACAGACTCTCTTTCTTCCAAACCGGGGCTGGCTAGCTGATAGCAGTTTGTGTCACGTAGCGTAAGCCACTAACCTGTCTCTCAGTAGCCGTTCTAGAATGTTTAGTGGCACCTACTAAAGGTTAAATAGCTAAAAGTTAGCGACTTCATTTTACTTCCCTCCCTTATGTATGCAGGGAAGATTCGTCAGCCTCCAGTACTCTGGGAACCGTCCGTCCTGCAGGTATTTGATGAATAGGATTACTAATGGTGCTTCAAGCATCTCAGCTAGTGATTTACCAGTAATCGTCAGTGATGGTGACCTCGTCCATTGTAGGTTTTTTGTGTTGGATGGTATTTGAGAGAGTTTCTCCTGTCTACTTTGTGGACCCGTTCAAAATATCGGCAGAGAACATCCACCTTTTCCGAGTTTCATTATGCACTAACAACTCTGTTGTTCCGAACGATCTCGACAGCCCTCTAAACGTCGTCCTTGAGTTGACGTGGTTGACGTAGGCTTTCGGGTTGGGTGAGTGGTTAAGCCTCGAAGAGACATTGTAATGTGATAATAATAGTAATAATGGTATGCTTTCACGTACCCATTTATGTGTTGCAATAGAGCCAAGTTGTGCAGCATGTTCAGCATGGTACAGGAAAACCAATCCAGTGGAGTTCTTTTGCATGACGGTTTATCTCCTATGTGCTAAAATCACCGGGAATGAGTAGTTTGCCATTGTGCCTAGCTGCTGTTCAAAGTATTGGCATCGTCGTATCATCTTTGTTGTCTGGTCACAATGGGCTTCTGAAAAGGTCAACACCAGCACCCTTGTGCAGCCAATGCTCATCGCGCAGCACGAGAATTGGCTTTTGGCGGTTACATCGTGAGTTTCCGTCTTTATTCCCGATTTAGGCGCTGGCAACCAGCACAACGCTTTTTCACCTATCCCGCCGTTAATCTAATCAGTGCAATTATTGCAGAAGAATAACTGGACGAGATGTTTGATTTTTACTGCTGGCCGGATCTAGATTTCCGGAATATCAACGAATCACTTTCCTCTAATTGTGTTTTAAGCTCCAACCATTTGTTTAACATTCTACATGCATTTTTATAGGCAATGAGCAGTGGAAGTCCTTCTTTGCTGTTTGGCAACTCACTTCTAGTGGTTTTCACGGTTAGGTTAGTTTGTCAAACCTTTTACAGTCGGTGTGGGTTTTATTCCCTGGGGTCCCGCAACAGAGACCCTTTATAGAACTGCGTCATTGAGTCAGGGCTTGTGCGTGCTTTAGTCGTTTTGTGACATGGAAGCGTCATTAGGTTCTCGTAACCAATCTTTAGTTTGGGAGCAGCCACTACTGCTTGGCGCGTTTGTGACAGCCACTCGGCGGTTTCTGCTGGTAGTCTTCTACTAGTTCGATCTTCCAGTTTGAAAATAACTTTACGTCTTGAACTTGCCCGGATCTTCTAAGCTTCCGTTAGGAACTTGCCGCTATGTTCGAGTTTACAGAATTCAGCGATATTAGGCCCAGGGCCCCGGGAATTCTTCCGCTTTTACCTACCTCTATGGCCCCTGTCTAAGTACACACTTGATTAGAATATGCTCAGGATTTGCGACGGTCCGTAGCAGCTTCACCAGATAGTAGCGCAAGTACCCATCTCTTAGCCTATCTTGCCACATGAGGGACTCCGGTATGCTGTAAATGGGGACACTTACCGGTCTACCCATGGCTTGACCAAAACTCCTTCATAGCATGCTCCTTCCTGAGTCTTATCGGGTTCTCATTGTTGCCACCGAACTAACCGTTTAGGTTCGTCAAGGTTGCTCTGACGTCGGTTTTGGCAGCCATGAGGGCGCATCCCACACTTCCGGTTTCTCCAGTATATTTGTTCTGTCTAAGCACCTTTTTCTTACTTCTTGTGGTCCCCCCTTGAATAAAATCGACGGATGAGTTGACACTATTCTTGCTGTTGCTGTTTTGGGCCTCTGTTTACGTCTGATAAACTAACTGTGTACTGTTTTGACGTCACTGAAGATAGATATGCAGGCTGTGTACGCGTACCTTAGGCGTTTGTGTTGTCCGTGAATTTGAAAGATTTTTCTGGTCAGCGCACAATATTTGGAATGCTAACATACACCGTGATTGCCACAGATTGTGCCCTGATTTTATACATATGCTGTGCAATTTTCCTTGCCACAGGGGAACTGCACGGGCTACTTGACTGACGTGCACTCTCCATTAGAGGACAATGTTTTGTTGCCAACACAGTTGAGTACCGTATGAATCAATTAAAATGAGAATGCAATTAAAAGACGTTGAACCGATGAAAAGATATAATATTCAGTGAAAATGTTTGGAGCTGTAAGTTAAATAGAATATTATCTTAGCGCTAAAACTCTAATTAAAGTGCAACGTTCGTTATGGTTTAAATCAAAACCGCTGATAATAAGATTTTCGTCATTGAACACAAACAAGGTACACAGCACGACGTGAAATCACCGTGCACGTTTTCCACTGATAACCTTGTACAACCCTTTTTACAGTTTATATATCCTGACACTGTCAAAGTACTTCCTTGATATCCCTTTCTGTGGCTCATCCAAACCGAACTCTTCGTGCGTCAAAATTTCAAACCGCACTTCGTCAAGATTGGTGTAACTCGATAACCTACAAAATTCCAAACCAGTAGAAAGCCGTGGTTTGCACTTATTCGTTATCTGAAAGGTTCCGATATAATTAAAATATACGTAAAAAATATCCCCATTTTTGTGGAGGGCATTTCTTATTGATTCGAATCCGGAAATATACAACAAGAGGTCAGAAAATGAACAGAGCAACAAAGATGTCGGTTAAAGAAATGGTGAAACGCCGAGAGCAATCCTGATCAAAGACCTCTGTAGAAACGTGTACAGCTACAAAATATAAAGTGTGATTTGCCATACGTGATATTTGATTGTTGAGAGTGAACATCAAAGATTAACTAGCTGTAAAACGACAGAAAAATGTTTTTAAATATCAATCATACTATCAATAGTTACACAACGTGAACAATTGCACGGGAAGTTGATTTATGGAGCGCATGAAAGACTGTACTTTGCCGTCATTTTCTAAATTTCAGATTTGTATCAAAATTTGGTATCTCCAGGTCTTGGATACGGATTGAAAGTTCAAACTTGGAGACACGGTAAAAGTGAACCATCAGTATGTAATCTTACTACACCGTGGGTAGGTTCAGAATATTAATTCGTTTATAAGTTTTCAAGTATTGTGTATTAGAAAAATGTAATCGTCAAATATTGAATAACTTTTCATATTAGTATTTTTGTTCTTTGGAATTTTCAGTGTTTAGCTAAAAGAAAATTGTAGTTATACATTTATTTTTTAGCTCACAATAAAGATGCCTAAAAATTAATTTTACTATTAAAGATGGTGCTATCCAACTTAAACGTTTTAGTAAAATACTATGTCTTTTTCCTATTGATACGTCAGGAATTACTGTTACTTACTCGTTCTAGCTTTTCAGTTGAATTATTATGAAAAACGTTTAAACATTTCTTTGATAATGCATTCAGTAAATTTCTCCTATTCGTTGTTTACTTCACAGGTTAAGATGTAAATTTTTCGTTTGTATAAGTTGTACTTCTAAACATGCCTTAAAATCTTCGTCGTGAATCATAAAATAAATTTAAACATCAGTAATATTTCAGAAAACATCAAAGTGAACAATTTTATTCCAATTTCTCACAATGTAAAGTGTCATCCAAGAAATAAAATTTTAATGTTTTCTAAGTTCATCCAGGATCTCAAAGTTTACCCCCAAATTACATATGAAAATGTTCCAAATGAATATTTTGACCGCTGATATTACTTTAAAACTTCTTCAGTCAACATGCTGTTAAATATGGACTTAATACGATCGTGATAAATGTGTAACAGTATAGTCCAATACTCAAGCACTGTATGGCGTTTATTTATCATGACAAAAGACGAAATATCATTTAATTCACATCAGAAAGCATTATAATGAATTTTAGAGATTATGCCAAATACAAAGCCCATGGCCTCATGACGTTCCTACTTTTTGTAAAACAACGGTTCCAGTTTCTGGCAAAACGGTATATTTCTCCAGTCGACTAAATTTTGAGAAGGATTTAGCTGTTCTAATTGTTTTTATTTGTATGTTGAGACTTTAAATGTAAACAATAGTGCCCTGTGGGATTCACAAGATCGTTATTCAGTTCAAGAACTCAATATCCCATTTTAGCAGAATATTGATCAAAGTTATTACTTTTTCTTCAATTTACGTAGAAAAGGTTTCCGTAAAGTGAATTATGAATACAATTTTCGCTTCACAATTATACTGTTTCTCTTGTGTTCTATAACGCAGGTTGTTAACATTCAAGAACTGCAATTTAAGAGACTTTCACTGTCTTTCGGCAGTTATAAAGACCATGCAAAGTGGGCGTCCACTATACCCAAATCAGCTTCAAACGAGGATAAGGATATGTGGATCTGCTTAGGGGACATAAATCGTATGGTAAGAGCTGTAAAAGCATCAGGGTTTTATGGGGTTAGGTATTTATGTAATTGCTTTACTTACAATACTCTATATTTTATTTTTCAGTACTCACAGTTATACCGTGGTGGAGGCACCATGTGCCTGAAAAACGCAAAAATATGGAAAGCTTTTTCACAACTGATATCCTCAGTTGAGCCGTGTTCTGAGTAAAAGATGTTCAATGATGTTGATTGTACATTAACTACTAGAGCCATTTTGCATAACTAATGTGCATTTGTAATGGTTTATTCTTCCGAGGCACATTTTATGATCTTATACTTCTGCCACGACTTTTCAGAAAAAACATACAAAAACTCTGTTGTTTTTAAATAAACATACTTAAAAATATACACTTATATGCTTATACATACTTAAAAATTGAAAGTATTATGCTAGATTCTAGCGCTAACCTTCATGTCCAGTGATTTTACCTTTTGGTACGTACTTTGAAATCCTCCACAGCATCCACGCCAAGTTTACGCGCATAATTAAGCACAACACAAAACGTAGTTTATTTATTTGGAGTTCCGTTTCAACTATAATATCAAATTATTGCTGATACCACTTTATTTATTTAACCAATGGAATCCAACGCTCAAGTTGTTGATCCTAACTGATTGCATCTTTACTGAATCAAGTTAGTGATACATGAAAAGCAAACTAAAAGCAATTGTGACTAATTTCTAAACGTTCAAATTTACAAATTCAAGAATGATTACTGAACTAAGATAACTCCAAAAACCGTGCATTAATTTGATTCTAAGGCAGAACGTTCAGCCTTGATATCTTTTTTATTCCTGCACAGGATCAATCTAGAGAAAACTGCTGATAATTCAAAACTCATAATTATCTTCATCACGATCACAGGCAAAGCAAAAATAAAAAGCAAAACCAAGAGAAAAATGTGATTGCAAAAAGTGATGGAAGTTTAGTTGAAAGAATTCGGATGTTTTGATTTTTGTATAAGCCAAAACTGGTGACAAGTTTTTTTTCAATCTCTAGATGTTAATAAGGAGGGAAGAAAGAAGTACTTTTGAACCTTAACCAATAACCCGATGTTATAAACCCATGAAGCAATGCCGGTATGAGGAAAGTTATTTATTTCAAGAGCAGCATCAGATAGGATAAAGTAAAGTTGCCGAACGGAAAATCTCATCTTTAACAGTCGGTTAGTATTTTCTGCTATCTGTTTATCGGTAATCGCCAGCCTGACAGTCCATTTGTCTCTTGTTTGCTCGCAAAAGTAAACCATTTAACCATATCACAGATCCCGTCGGAATCCAAAAACCGCTCTCTGGTGCACACGCACTATTCACAAATGTGCGTAGTAACTCAGAATATTAGTACGGGGTAACGAAAGACAATTAATCATTTCTGGTGATAGATTATGTTAAGCAGACGAACACTTTACACAACTCACCAAATCCCACAGAAGAGCGGCCGTTTCACCTACAAGAGCGGCATTATGCACATTCATCACTGAGTTTAATTTTATGCAGTGTATTTAAGTTAACCATAAAGAGAATAGAGCCAAAGGCTAAACTTACCTATTCCGTTGATGTGATTGGTATGTGTTGTAGTATTGAGAATAGCATTCGAAATATAGCTCCAGAATTCGCTCAATACCATCCCCGAACTAAAAGCAACTTCGAATCCAATAGCACACGTACTTTACTCGAATCGTATACTATGCATATTCAATGCATTAAAAGTGTACAAACAAGTTTTGAGGTCAGTGTCACTCATCACACTCGCCGCACCTTGAATTGATTTCTGTAAGTATTTCTGTAATCCAAGCGTGGCTTCGAAATAAGTCATTCAGATTTTCGTAGGATTTGTTCATTCACAGGTAATTTTTCCGTAGCAGCTCGCTGTTCAACAATCTGTTTATCAGTCGTATCAAGTTGCTCATTATCTAAAGAAACATTATTAGACTCGGAAGTTTCATCATAAAAGGAAACTGACTAACTTGTATTGTCAAAACGAATTTAGTCCACATGTCTTCTGTGTATAGACAAATCTTCCTTGTCGAACAATTGAAGGATTTTCGACCTAAACACTTTAGGACAATTCACGAAGAGGGTCTTAGATCATTACCACGGAAAGATGTAACCTCAGAAGAATCAATAAGCAATAAACTGGATACCAGATTTCGAACTTTTGAAAGTTTAGTTTAGTTTAGCAGGTGTTTATTTAGTGGGGAAATAAACAGAATTACGATATTGTAAAGGAAACAGATCAACATTTTTTTCAGGTTCAGAACATGTGGATAGATTCAAACCGGTAATAGTACTTTTAAGTGTTCTAACAAAATTCTTCGCTTGTCCATTAGAACAAGGATGTCTAGGCGCAGTAAACAAAATGTTTGCGGTCAATGCTGTGCAACCATTCTGAAACACTTTTCGCGGAAAAATGACTACCATTATCAGTAACAAGTATAGCAGGACTACCCTCCCGACTGAAAACTTTAAGCAAAGCATGAACAGTGAAAGCTGATGAGGGCTACCTAGTGGAAAATACCCCTGGCCAATTGGAGAAGTAGTCAATGACAACAAGAGCATGCATTTCATTTGTAAATGGACCACAATAATCAACATGAACGCGTTGCCAAGCTTCAGATAAAGCAGGCCACGGAACCCACTTGGATGGCAACTGTCGAGGTTTTTAGTAGCACTTAGGGCAGCCCTTTGCTTTGGAACATATGTCGGCATCCATGTTCGGCCACCAACAGTGTAATCGAGCCAACGAATTTATCTTTTCTATCCCAAGATGGCCGGAATGTAGGTCGTAAATTACCGCCTTACACAACGTCGGTGAAATACCAACCCTGTCATTCAAGCACAGTAATGCATCAGGCATAATTGAAAGTTCATCACGCCGAGCATAGTGATATAGAAATCGCTTCCGGGTCGGTGCATTGCAATCCTTCCGTAAAGGAGTCATCACAGCAGAGATAAAACGACGTGTGCCACGAATAAATTCTTGGCGGCTCATTGGGGGAGATTGTACTACTAGAGGATTAAAAATGTTCTCCGGATCCGAAGCATATAGCTATTGACGCAAAATGTAATGCACGTGTCGGAAGTGTTTGTCATTGCGATGTTCAATTGTATAATCATGTTTACTGAAGGAGATACTCCAACGCAGAACCATAGCTGCGGAGCTTCTGGAAAGGGATTTCCCGGGATGAAAAATAAATTTCAAGGCCTCATGAACGGTAAAGATGGTGAAATGATGACCGAAAAGGAACTTGTGGAGGCGCTTGACTGCCCAATATACAGCTGAGGCTTCGCAATGAGTTTGAGCATATCCTCATTTAGCTGCTCTTAACCGGCGAGACACATAATTGGATAATCATTTTGTTCAAAACGTGCACCAATTCCATCAGGTGATGCATCAGTAATAACAGTGGAACGATTTTCGAGATTGAGTGAGTAAAGTACAGCATTAGTCTGCAGAAAATGTAGCAATTTACGTAAGCAATGTTCATGAACATCAGCCTAAACAAATGTGTCAGAAGAAGCGAGAAGAAACAGGGGTGAATCTTTCTGACTGAAATTAGGAATAAATCTAAAGTAATACTGTACGGCTCTAATCAATGATATGAGTTCGTGTATGTTCGACGCTGATTTGGCTTATGTCAGAGGAAATGGACGATTCCGGTGAGGTTGGTAGCCTTTACCATCCACTTAGTATTCAAGACATTCAAAATGAGAGATAGAAAATAAACATTTCTTAGGATTAACAGCAACATTCTTATCAGGAAACCTACGAAGGAGTTCAAGCAATCGTCCGTCATGAGTGGACTTGTCAGGAGCATGAACAACAATGTCATATTGATATACTTAAACATCATACAAACCACTAGTAATTTCATCCATAACTTGTTGAAATATGGCAGAAGCAATGAATGAACCAAAACTGGTATCTTTATAAACCAAAAGGGGTATTCATAGTTGTCAAAGTGGATGAGGTTTTGTCCAATACAAATATTTATAAATATGCCTCTTTTAAGTGAATCTTGGAAAAGACCTTAGAACCAGTTAGGTTATTCAGAATGTCCTCTGGTTTAACTGTTGTACATGTTTGCTTTACCAGTCTTGTAGTTAAGGTGATTCGGTAGTTGCCATATATCTTGGAGGTCTTGCTAGTCAACTTGAGTGGTGTGAAGATCGGTGTACCTCATGCTGAAGACACCACCTTTTCTATAACACCTTTGAAACACAAGTTGTTCAATGCATTCATGACAGTTCACGAAGGCCATATGGAATAACTCGGCTTTTGAGAAAAACTAGATCGCCAAAAACTAGTAGCTTCATTGAGAGAATTTTCATGCCGCCACTAACTTTTGAGCATTTGATAATCAAATCTTTCAGTTCATTTTCAGTATCGATAGAGGTTTATAAGGAAAGATTGACATTTAATGTTTTTATGGCTTTCAAGCCTGGTATGGCTCGGCCAGACTTCATCCCAATGAATGTACAGATGGAAGTTTTAGAATGTTCATCACGGGGTGAAGTCTCAAAAGAACCACCAACAGGTAATGAGTGTCCACTGATGCCATTTATGCTATTTATGGTAACAGTGGACGACTGCAGTTTAGCATCTGAAGCGAACCGTTTTAAATCCTGAACGGAAATTAGAGATTCTACACTACCAGTGTCCAAAATGAAATAAAGTAAGTTACCAGTGGAACTGATTAGTTGTTTGCAACTGTGACCGGAATGGGAGGTAATTGCCAAAGATAAAGAAGAAAAATATTTGTCAATGTCACTCAGTTTTGAGTCATTGAATTGAATGAAACGACAGGTTTTTGGTACTGCGACACGGACTGAATATAACTAGTTATGCCACACTTGTGACATGAAGCGTAACGAAATAGACGGGTGAATCTGGAACGAAGTTTGTCTTAGGATGCGCAATTGCCATAAGATTTATCCGGATATGTCACATTCTGTAAGCTGGATTTTGTAACTGGTTTGAAACATCCGGCTGTGGCATTAGCTTCCGTGGATTCAGTAATTCGATGGTCGACGGCATGGATGAAGTAGCGAATGTCCTGATATTGTTCACAATGGGCCCGCACATCTTTAAACGTCGGATTGGATAGCTTTAGAAGTTTGTTTTGCAAAGCAGTATTGTTTATGCCACCGATCAGCCAGTCTCCCAACTGCAAGTTCAGTAAGTCTCCAAAATCACACTTTGCTGCTTGAGTGAGCAAATCGAAGATAAATTCACGGATGCCCTAATTCCGATTGCGTAACATTGAATGAAGTTTCGCTGAATCTGAGGCTTCCAAGTTTGTTGGCTCTACATACTATAGAAGGAGGGATTTTAACTCCTCGTACGTTACAAAAATAGGTGGAGAGGGATAAGCCACGTTTTTGATCAGTATGTAAGTATTTGCACCGGAGCATTCAAAAAGAAATCGGATTTCTTTTTCTCATCAGGCTTTTAACGAGTCAACCACGAAATCTCAAAACGCTCAAAATAATCCTCGATATCGCGTGCATTGTAGTTAAGGTCTAGGGATTCCAGTGGAGTAGAATTCATTGTTCAGTAGACCAGCCGCGAACAACGTCGAATCAAACAGCACACGTACTTTATTTGAATCGTGTACTATGCATATTTAATGCATTTAGAGTATACAATGAATTTTAGAGGTCAGGGTCATACATCACATCAAATTTTCGTAGAATAATTACAGGGAAAAACGGTTGAAGAAAGTAATTTTTTGCAGTCACGCTTCTGCAAGTTGCATACGTCTTGCAGCAAAAGTACATTCTAAGTTGCAACGCTGTAAAAATGGTGAATGAAGGACATTCTGTGTGTGAAGATGCGAATTGTACATTTTTGTTGTGTATAATGGGAGGAAATGTTTACAGACATGGGAACATTTCATAATTCA